GCAAATTGGATGTAGTCTATCACAGTGCTATCACAGTGCCATCCGTTTTGTCTCCAAAGCCCCATACGCTACCCACCACTGTGACCTGTACGCTCTTGTTGGCTGGTCCTCACTACATGTTCGTCGTCAAACCCACTGGCTCCAGGCCATCTATAAATCACTGCTAGGCAAATCCCCGCCTTATCTTAGCTCATCGGTCACCATAGCAGCACCCACCCGTAGTCTGCGCTCCAGCAGGTATATCTCACTGGTCATTCCCAAAGCCAACACCTCATTTGGCCGCCATTCCTTCCAGTTCTCTGCTGCCAATGACTGGAACGAATTGCAAAAATCTCTGAAGCTGGAGACTCTTATCTCCCTCACTAACTTTAAGCATCAGTTGTCAGAGCACCTTACCGATCACTGCACCTGTACACAGCCCATCTGAAATTAGCCCACCCAACTACCTCATCCCTATATTGTTATTTATTTTGCTCTTTTGCACCCCAGTATCTCTATTTGCACATAATCTCTTGCACATCTAGCATTCCAGTGTTAATACTATTGTAATTATTTTGCACTATAGCCTATTTATTGCCTTACCTCCATAACTTGCTACATTTGCACACACTGTATATATATTTTCTGTTGTATTTTTGACTTTATGTTTTTTACCCCATATGTAACTCTGTGTTGTTTTTATCGCACTGCTTTGCTTTATCTTGGCCAGGTCGCAGTTGTAAATGAGAACTTGTTCTCAACTGGCTTACCTGGTTAAATAAAGGTGAAATAAATAAATAAAAACTGCTCTGGCCATAACTACTCCCAAGTGGCGCAGTGGTCTAAGGCACTGCATCGCAGTGCTAGCTGTGCCACTAGAGATCATGTTTCGAATCCAGCCTCTGTCGTAGCCGGCCACGACCGGGAGACCCATGGGGCGGTGCACAATTGGCCCAGCGTCGTCCAGGGTAGGGGAGGGAATGGCCGGCAGGGATGTAGCTCAGTTGGTAGAGCATGGCGTTTGCAACGCCAGGGTTGTGGGTTTGATTCCCATGGGGGGCCAGTATAAAAAATAATAATTATGCACTCTGGATAAGAGCATCTGCAAAATGTAAAATGTAAACTATCCCCCATACAAAGCTATTGGTTCAGAAGGAGAGAAAGAAGAGAGTTTGGAATCCGTTCCCTTCCTCTACACGTAGCCAATGGAGTGTAATGCAACTGGGGAAGGCACGCATTCAAGCACACACACAGCACAAGGATTCCCCCACTTTATCATGTACACTGAGTGTATAAAACATTAGGAACACCTGCTCTTTCCATGACATAGACTGACCAGGTGAAAGGTATGATCCCTTATTGATGTCACTTGTTAAATTCACTTAAATCAGTGTAGATGAAGGGGAGGAGAGGGTTAAAGAAGGATTTTTAAGCCTTTAGACAATTGAGACATGGATTGTGTATGTGTGCCATTTAGAGGGTGAATGGCTTTATTGGCATGGGAAACATATGTTAACATTGCCGAAGCAAGTGAAGTAGATTGTAAACAAAAGTGAAATAAACAATAAATATTAACAGTAAACATTTCACTCAGAAGTTCCAAAAGAATATGTCATATGTCAAATGTCATATTATGTATATATACAGTGTTGTAACAATGAGCAAATAGTTAAAGTACAAATGGGAAAATAAATAAACATAAATATGGGTTGCAGGTCTGTGTAATCTGAGGGAAATATGTGTCTCTAATATGGTCATACATTTGGCAGGAGGTTAGGAAGTGCAGCTCAGTTTCCACCTCATTTTGTGGGCAGTGTGCACATAGCCTGTCTTCTCTTGAGAGCCAGGTCTGCCTACGGCGGCCTTTCTCAATAGCACGGCTATGCTCACTGAGTCTGTACATAGTCAAAGCTTTCCTTAAGTTTGGGTCAGTCACAGTGGTCAGGTATTCTTCCAATGTGTCAAATAATTCTCTTTTTGTTTTGGTCTAATTGTGTTGCTGTTCTGGGGCTATGTGGGGTCTGTTTTGTGTTTGTGAACAGAGCCCCAGGACCAGCTTGCTTAGGGGGCTCTTCTCTTGTGGTCCTCTGTAGCTCAATTGGTAGAGCATGGTGCTTGTAACGCCAGGGTAGTGGGTTCGATCCCCGGGACCACCCATATGTAAAAATGTATGCGCACATGACTGTAAGTCGCTTTGGATAAAAGCGTCTGCTAAATGGCATATGTTTTATTATATTCCTCCAGGTTCATTTCTCTGTAGGTGATGGCTTTGTTATGGAAGGTTTGAGGATATTTTTGCAGAATTTTGCATGCAGAGTCTCAATTTGGTGTTTGTCCCATTTTGTGAATTATTGGTTGGTGTGCGGACCTCAGACCTCACAACCATAAAGGGCAATGGGTTCTATAACTCTCTCTCTCACACCCCCACACACACTTTTCCTCACTCTCTGGTTCTAAATGATGATTTGCAGATGGACCTAATCACTGCATGTGGTGTAGCAGCTAGAGTGAATGGGTCAGTCCACTAATCACCCTCCTCCTCCCACCCCAACAACCTGCTCTTTAACACTTTAAAGTGGCTCTCCAGTCTCCTTTTCACCTCATTTAACATCTGATTTACTTAACAAAAGGCACATCTCAACAGGTGGTCCAGTTAAGTCATGATCCTTTCCTCTTTTGTTCTATTGCTCCTATTGTTCATCAAACAAGGGGGAGGCCGATGACATCACAACTTCCCATCAGACTAACTCCTTGAATGCCCTACTCCTTGAACTTTGCAGTTGTGTCTAAAAAACACAATTTTGCTGAAAACCCTTTAGTGTGTGTACTTTACTGAATTTATACTTAGGATATCACTTTTCAACAGTAAAGGTTCAAAAATCACTGAAAGATGTATTTAAGGCTGAAAGAGACAATCCCAGAAGTTATTTATACAAAATATAATTTCAAACAAAAACAAAGATGAAGATTGAAAGCAACAACAACAAAAAAGCAGTGGACTTTTTCCCATCCTCCCCTGATTCAGAATATATAATTGTTATAGTCATGGCATGCTTTGTGTAAGAGATATTGAAGATTGAAAGGAATAAACATAAAAAATCATTTAAAGAAATAAACTGTGGATTTTCTCCATCCTCCCGATTCAGAATATATAATCTTCATAGACATGGCTTGCTTGGTTCAATAGCTATTGATGAGAGAAAACCCGAACATCCACCGAATATCCAATATAAAACTCATTTTACCTAGGTCAGGCAAGCTAGCAAGTTTGCTCAGCGTTCTTTGCTCGCTCTTGACTTTATAACCAAAATTATTCCGACTGCGATGTTATATTCGCAAGCCTTAGATATATAGTTCAAACGTTGAAATGTCTAATAATATATTGTAGATTAACACATTTGAAGTTGTTACACCCAGTCATTTAATTGGCAATTGATGCTTCCTACACACGGAAGTTATTTTTTTGTAAAAGGAAAAAGCTACATCCGCTGCAGCTATATCAGAGAAAAGGGCAGATAAGAATATCCAGATTTTTTTTGTGACAAATATCATATTGAGCAAAATGTGTCATGTTTTTACGAAATGCTGATGGAACATTTAAGACAGGGAATGACTGTATACCTTACTCATTAATGTACCTGCGGCAGGTCTATGGCCTGCAGTAGGCCAATGGCCTGTATGAAAATGTATGCGCTCACTAACTGTAAATCGCTCTGGATAAGAGCGTCTGCTAAAATGACTAAAACAAAATGGGAGTTATTTGCTCCTTTCCATCAAGGCGGAGGGTAACGTTGAACTTTACTGGATGGGGTGTCTTCACTCTCCTCAAAATGAATCAATCATGTGACATTTGCCCCCCCCCAAAAAAAAAAAAAATATATCGTAGCGTATCTAACAGTGTCAGCAAAGGTTTACACAATTTGATATCGGGTTGAAAACAGCACACAAATTAACAAAAACACACCGCGTAAGCCTAAATTCACTTTAAGAAAGACCGCATCTCGAGATTGGTTTATAAAATGTCATTTTTATTCATGTTACACAGCTGATACATAGGGCATTAACATTTCCACGAGGCTTTTGGGAACTATATCGATGATTAGCAAAAACACAATAGTGGTCCAAATCTCTAATGACAATCACTGGACTAACCAAACACCCTCGTTAACATGTGCACAAACCTGCATTGAAAAGTACTACATTGGACATTTGGACTTGGTGTGTATACAGCATTGGTTCCCATTCCAGTGTACTATTAAATGACATGCATGTAGGAGTATTTTGTTCTTCCCATTATCAATTTGTTTATGTTCTGGTCTTTAGAAAGCCCTACCTCTATTCTCTTCAACCAGACATGCTTTATAGTGAATGTCATAACCAGGGGGGAGTGAGGAAGGACCTTGTCAGAACCAATGGAAATCACCTGGCTGGGAAACTTGGTGCCAGCTCAGACTGGCCCTCCCTGCAGTATAGAACAATTGGACTTGTTCACATTGAACATCAGCAGCTGTAACCATACAAGATAACCGTGTGGAGGACATCAGCAGCTGTAACTGTACCAGATATCCGTGTGGAGAAATAGAGAACAAGTCTATGCAGGGTGAGGGAACAATTCATCGAATTTGTTTAACACCCCTGTTCTAAGAACATCCTAACTCCCCTTGTGTTTTGATGGGACTAAGATTTTCTGTAGCTCAGCGAAAAGCCCTATAATGTCTTATTTTGTCCTCTAATTTGGACTAAAACGTTGATAAAAGAAGCTATTAATACTTTTCTAACAGGAGAAACTGCACGTATGGAAGGTCAGGACGAACACAAACCAAGGAATGGAGGTTTCATTTTTGTTTCTCAATCAATATTTTTCTTTCACAAAAGCTTCAGTGTGAAAAGACTAAAATGATTTTGGAATTTCCACATGCAGCTTTTGTTTAGTAATGGGTTTCATTGCGAGAAGACTAAGTGGAGCAATAAAGGAATGGAGATGTGTAAAAAGGTTTTCTTTTTTTGGAGATGACCCTGTGTCAGTTCTCGTTCTCTCCTGCGTCGCCGGCTTCTCCGGCCTCGCCTTCCTCGGGCGCGTTGTCGGATGTCCATAACTGGAGAGAGAGAGACACATTGACGTTAAAAAGACCTCTATTCACCCACCATCTTAGTTCACCTCCTCTACTAACAACACATTACCCATGCAGACAGTCTTCTTCCAACTAAACGGTTACAAGTGAAAATGATCATTATTGTACTGTCATGTTTTTTACATACAAGTTTAATTTTAACAGACTAAACATTGTTTGACTAAAATGAGGAACATGGGCAGAGCAGAGAGGGAAGGGTACTAACTGTCAGGTTGTCTCTGAGCAGCTGCATGATGAGAGTGCTGTCTTTGTATGACTCCTCGTTCAGTTTGTCCAACTCAGCAATGGCGTCGTCAAATGCCTGAAGACACAAAAAGCACAAAAACACAAATGTATAACATAGCAAGCTTGAATGAAGAATCGCTGTGCAAAATCCAAGCTACCATCGAGTAAACCCCCTGCATGTCCAGCACATATATAAAGCTTTGTACTTGAGATCTCCCATTGCAATAACTTTTCCCAGAAGAAACATATTACAATCCACCCATTCACACACTTATCTAAATGTTAGCAATTCAGTCAAACACACCACTTAACATTACCTTTAGTTTGTTCTGACATGGAACAAGCAGATAACGCAGGAACTTAACAACTGTAACGAAGTCCCCATAACTAAAGCAAACAGGGGAAAGGGGCGGGACTGACCTGTTTGGCCAGTGAGCAAGCTTTCTCTGGAGAGTTGAGGATCTCGTAGAAGAAGACTGAGAAGTTGAGGGCCAGGCCCAGGCGGATGGGATGCGTGGGGTCCATCTCCTTCTTGCTGATGTCAAACGCCTGCTGGTACGCCTCCTGAGAGTGCTCTATGGTTGCTGGGGAGCACAAAGACATTGGAGGCAATGATACAGTATGGCACCCTACCAGATTTATTTTTACTACAATCAAGTGTGAGAATGACAGAAGCCTGATAGCCTTGTTAGCTAAATTCACTCTGTAGGGATTAAGATGTAGGCGAGTGGACATTGACAGCTAGTGGCTGCTAGGTTGAAGACCACAAGTGCAGTATTGGACAATTCCGACTGTGGCACATTCTCAGCAATGAGCAACTCGCAGTCGAGTGGCACATTTATTTCCTTTTCTCCAGGACCCATTTGAAATGCACATGCTAATAACAGGGCATAGAGCTCTCTTTAGTGTGCATCACACAAAGGTTTACAAGTGGGTGTCTCAGAGGCCAATACAGTCAGTAAAACCTGCTTAGATGTCATTCTGGTATTGAGAGAAGTGGGACTCTCCACCCCCCAAAAAACTATTTTATTCAGCAAATGTTTTAAATATATATTTTGGTACATATATCGGTCTTGAGTAGCACTTGGCTAGCGAGAATGCTATGGCTCCTCTGAGTAATTCACACACCTAAAATGTAGGCTTATTGCTTGAAAATAGCAACATGGCAAATACCTTTGCAGCATTAAGTTCAAGGGGCCATTTCATTGCAATCTCACCTGTCTTGTCATCCCCAGAGGCGACTTCGGCAAGGTATCTATAGTAGTCACCCTTCATCTTAAGGTAGAAGACTTTGCTTTCAGCATTTGTGGAGTTCTCAATTAAATATTTATTCAGCAGTTCCTGTGGGAAGGAAACACAGATTAATAATTTGTTCACACGGCATAAACCTTCCATTTGACAGTCAATGTTTCCTTGCCAAGTTAAGATGTGGTCCTCTGTAGCTCAACTGGTAGAGCATGGCGCTTGTAACGCCAAGGTAGTGGGTTCGATCCCCGGGACCACCCATACACAAAAATGTATGCACACATGACTGTAAGTCGCTTTGGATAAAAGCTTCTGCTAAATGGCATATTATTATTATTTATTATTATTAAGATGTTTGTTATTGAAATCCTGTTAACCCCATTCCAAAATCTTCAAACCTACGGACTGGCTAAAGTAGTAAGTTTGATTATGATTGGCTGAGACAACATACACCCAAACATGACCATATGAGTGGAGTTCCCATGGTATCCAGAGTTCCTAACCAAAACCCTCCCACACCAGTGATTGGCAGATGCAAGTGAAGTCACAGACAGTAACTAGCCTCCAATCTTTCCAATACAACAGATGCAACCAACAAAAACTGGATTAGCAGCAGCATTAAAAGGGCAAGGGAAAGGGGAATACATTAAACATTAGCGACTGTATTGGACCAAGGAGGTGTATCAATGATGACCACAGGATTCAAAGTTGAATATAAACAATGATATAAAAATGTGATTGAGAAATCCTAACCAGGCCAGTGGCCTCACATGTGATGAACAAAAGGTATATATATATATATATATATGATGACATCATGCGATGTCCATGCAGGGATGTGCCCACACAAGGGCAGGCAGACACACGTTATTAGGCTGCCCATGTCACGCCTAGTGGAGTGGACAGCCTGGACACCTCTACATGATTAATCAAGCCTGTTCTGTCCCCATCAAGAGCCTAGCTGTGCATATGGGCACGCAGCAGTGGGTTAAGCACAAGCAGGGAGGGAGCCAACGTGTTGCACTGCATCAAGTCATCCCAACTTGTCTACAATGAGGCCAGTAATACTGTGGGTTCCTGACCATCTTTTGCCCTAGATTCTTCCAGGCTTCTTTTGTCCCAACGTGCATCACGGCTCTGTCTTAGCGGCACAGCGACTCTCGGAAGCAAAACCAACAGCTGAATGCAAGTAGCAGTACCGCTTGTAAGCTACATCCCCGAAAGCACTCACAGGGCCTCCAAAGCACATACACCAATATTTAAACCCCACAGCAGCAGAAACTTCCCTATCACTGCATACCAGTTCCTCTGCAACGTACTAAATAGACTGAAGGTAGAGGAAAGGCAGTAGGTGATATACATACACGACCATACATGTCATGTGGGGTTCAATCCGAGGCAAGTTTCCTTCTGTAAGGGAAAACTATCAGCTCCTGACATTGAGTTCTGGAACGCTAAATCCCCAGTTAGCTAGCGTGAAGGAGCCTAACCAGCCAGTGCCCAACTCATCAGGATCATACTCCAGAAGGGCCGGATTGCTGCCTGATTACAGCTTTACTGCTAATCTGTGTCAGTGAGACCAAGGGCTTAAAGTCACCGTAACTCGTTTCAAATATCAGATTAAACAAGTTCACCGCAGATGAGGCTGTCCACTTGGCCCAGCCCCCAACCACTCCCACCCGGTCTACTTCCAGACGGATTAGTCGAGACACAGCGCTCTAGTTTCGCTCAGACCACAGCGAAGACTTTATTACAGGAACCAAACGGAAGGAAACGGGGAGGAATTACCTGAACCGGTCCAATAAGAAATGCTTGTTCTCGGTTTTCGTTGTAAAACATTTTGCTACGGTGTGCCTTAAATGGATATGACCCAGGCAATAGCACCGTGCTCCATAAAACCCAGTCCCCTATATCTCCTCTGTGGCCATGATATAGTCCTAACAAGAGCTGGTGGTGAAATTCTCCAGAGTTTGACTAATTGCAATACTGCACTCCTCAAATCAATGGACTGCAATTTGCAGCTGTGCTCTTCTGTTGGAGATGAGCGTATCGTGAACATGCGGATAAGCATATTTTTGTGCGATTCCGTCAAGACTACTATGTGAATCTGGCTGGGTTTTCAATCATTTTCACGAACAATGTGGGCCATCGCCATGACAACCTAGACGGTTTGAATTTGAAAAATGTGTCTTGCCAAGGTTATATCCACAGGCGAAGAGGAGACCAGCCTGGATGGTTTTGTAATTGGGCCCTGTTCGGTCTTACCTATGGCTGAAATTGAAGCACAGAAAACAGCCTGCACCATTCTCCGCACTATTCCCAGTCAACATTGCTTAAATGAACAATAAGTTAACAGATTCTGACCACGATCGCCTGTAGTTGCATACAAACTACAGCTGCCAACAGATTGAGAGGTGGTTTTTGGGGGCAACTATCGAATTGCAACTATTCAGCGTGCATTAACTATTCCTATAAAGTAGGTCTAGGCCAGGGTTTCCTTTGGAAAATGTGGCACCAGACATTTGAACGGCAGCATTTTAAATTTACCGGACTCATATGCATTAGGTGCGTAACCTGATTAGGGTGTCCACCCACGGTGCTCAGAATGACAAAAATCACATTTACATTAAAGTAAAATTATCTTAACTATACCCTGATGAAGACAGCTTGTCTGTCGAAACGTTGGTTATTCGGTAATTAAATGATTGCATCTGAGCTCCTAGAGTGTGAGACTCTCCTTTCCTTTTAAAAGTGTTCTACGCCGTTAGCCAGCACCTCTCCTAAACAGGTGTTCTACTCCGTTAGCCAGCACCTCTCCTAAACAGGTGTTCTACTCTGTTAGCCAGCACCTCGCCTAAACAGGTGTTCTACTCTGTTAGCCAGCACCTCGCCTAAACAGGTGTTCTACTCTGTTAGCCAGCACCTCGCCTAAACAGGTGTTCTACTCCGTTAGCCAGCACCTCGCCTAAAACAGGTGTGCGTTTCTTTTCCCTCAAAATTATCTTAACAGAACATGCAACTCGAGGATGCAATGGCGTGCGTCCTTCTTACCGAATTCCGATGCGCATTTTACAATAACTGTCCACATTTACTTTTCCTCAGCCAACGAGATGAGTAACGAACAGCAAAATCACTAGTCTAGTCTATTATCCCCCATAGTAGAAAAGTGTACCTATTCTATTGGTCAGCTTGTCGTTCTATGCAAGAAAGAAAATGGCCTATTCCAAAACAGACTATAGGACAGCTGTGGGACAATAGATCCCAAATTCATACAACCAGTACATCAAAATAACTTTAAAAACCATACTATTCACTTTAACTCTACCCACATGTACATATTACCTCAATTACCTCGACTAACCTGTGCCCCCACACATTCACTCTTTACAGGGGGTACCGGTACATAGCCTCCCTACTGTTATTTTATTGCTCCATTTTTTACTTAACACTTATTTTTCTTAAAACTGCATTGGATAAGGGCTTGTACGTAAGCATTTCACTGTAAGGTCTACACCTATTGTATTTGGCGCATGTGTCAAATAAAATGTGATTTGATGAGTTTATATTTTTTGTAGCTGTCCATTTACCACCACAAACCGATGCTGGCACTAAGACCGCACTCAACGAGTGGTGGTAGGCATGATCAGCAACGATGAGACAGCCTATAGGGAGGAGGTCAGAGACCTGGCAATGTGGTGCCAGGACAACCTCTCCCTCAACGTCAGCAAGACAAAAGAGCTGGAAACGGAGGGCCGAGCATGCGGGGCTGTATTAACATCGACGGGGCTGTAGTGGAGTAGGTCGAGAGCTTCAAGTTCCTCTGTGTCCACATCACTAAGGATCTATCGTGGTCCAAACACACCAACACAGTCGTGAAGAGGGCACGACAACACCGCTTCCCTCAGGAGGCTGAAAAGATTTGGCATGGGCCCTCAGATCCTCAAAAAGTTATACAGCTGCACCATTGAGAGCATTTTGACTGGCTGCATCACCGCTTGGTATGGCAACTGCTTGGCATCCGACTGCAAAGTGCTACAGAGGGTAGTGCGGATGGCCCAGTACATCACTAGGGCCGAGCTCCCTGCCATCCAGGACCTCTATACCAGGCGGTGTCAGAGGAAGGACCTACAAATTGTCAAAGACTCCAGCCACCCAAGTCATAGACTTCACTTTGCTACCGCACGGCAAGCGGTACCGATGCACCAAGTCTGGAACCAACAGGACCCTGAACAGCTTCTACCCCCAAGCCATAAAACGGCTGAATAGTTATATAAATAGCTACATGGACTATATGCATTGACCCCTTTTGCACAAACTTTTTTACTCATCACACACTGCTGCGGCTGTTTACTATCGGTCACTTTATTTCTAGTTATATGTACAGTTGAAGTCGGAAGTTTACAAACACCTTCGCCAAATACATTTAAAACTCAGTTTTTCACAATCCCTGACATTTAATCCTAGTAAATAGGATCACCACTTTATTTTAAGAATGTGAAATGTCAGAATAATAGTAGAGAGAATGATTTATTTCAGCTTTTATTGCTTTCATAACATTCCCAGTGGGTCAGAAGTTTACATACACTCAATTAGTATTTGGTAGCATTGCCTTTAAATTGTTTAACTTGGGTCAAACGGTTCGGGTAGCCTTCCACAAGCTTCCCACAATAAGTTGGGTGAATTTTGACCCATTCCTCTTGACAGAGCTGGTGTAACTGAGTCAGGTTTGTAGGCCTCCTTGCTCGCACACGCTTTTTCAGTTCTGCCCACACATTTGCTATAGGATTGATGTCAGGGCTTTGTGATGGCCACTCCAATACCTTGACTTTGTTGTCCTTAAGCCATTTTGCCACAACTTTGGAAGTATGCTTGGGGTCATTGTCCATTTGGAATACCCATTTGCGACCAAGGTTTAACTTCCTGACTGATGTCTTGAGATGTTGCTTCAATATATCCAGATAATTTTCCTTCATGATGCCATCTATTTTGTGAAGTGCACCAGTCCCTCCTGCAGCAAAGCACCCCCACAGCATGATGCTGCCACCTCCATGCTTCACGGTTGGGATGGTGTTCTTCGGCTTGCAAGCATTCCCCAT